AGAATAAAATTTTTTTTAACAAATGTATTTCTTTTCCTGTAGATATTTTTAACTCTTTAAATAGAGGCCTGACCATGAAAAAAGCAGAATGAGGTTGACACCAGGTTGAGGGTGTCACTGAGGTCCTGAGGAGCAGAAGGAAGCTACTGCAGGAGACAGCGTATTTAACTGCACCTTCCAGGCACAGACTCTGGCGGCTGCTCAAGCAGAGCCTCCAGCTAGCATATAAACCAGCCTCAGGTTCATCAAGCCACAATATTAATTGGTATTTCAAAAACACTTCACGCACAAAAAGAGGAAAAAAAATACCAACAGTGTAATTTGCAATTTGCCAAAAGCATAGGAAATTGTAAAGAAGATAAGAAGGAAAAAAAAAAAGTTTTATCACAGCTGGTTTATCTTGCTTTGCAACAAGCTCCACTGTGTTGTGTGTTTCACATGGAAATACACAACAAAAAGTATATGGTTGGGTTTTTTTATTCAGAACTTATGCCAGAGTTAATTAATTCATTAATTCATTAATTCATTAATTCAAGACTGAATTAGGGACCTAGGGTGCAAATGTTGTAAATTAAAAGGAAAAAAAAATCTTCATTGTATAATAAAGCTTTTTAAAGTCCATCTGTGCTACAGTGAAAAAAAAGGGATTTGATAAAAGTTCTTTTAATCTCTAACTGCCCTCTAATTTTAATGTAAAATTCTTTTTTCATGCTTATGATTTCGTCCGTATTGCTTTTATGAGAAATAATTTGCTGACACTAGTTAACATTTACCTCGATGGTCATCACTTATTAATTTTAAAACTATATGCTCCCATTAAAATATTTTCTACCTTCTCTTTTTTCCTCTCTCTTTTTTTTTTTTTTAGACTTTTAATGTTCATTTAAGCTGCCTGAAGCTAATTTATTCACTTGGTGGTCTTTATAATTTTGAAACCATATCCTCTTAACAATATAAACTCAATAAAATACCTGGTTTTGGAAAATTAAGACGGCACTTAGTATCTTCTTGTTCTAAAACGTGTACAACAGAGCAAGAAAATAAAAGGAAGGACCAGCAATACCAGTCCCCTGTGGCCACTGCCAGCAGCGCACAGCAGCCTGGTGCAGAACTGGCTGACTTTCCACAGTCATGCAATATAACTGTTTGCAAGGTTGCAACGCAAACGCAACCAGGGTTCCAGCTTTACAAGGAATTTGTGCACATCCAAAATTTTAAAAAAAGCGAGTTAAGTGGGTTTCTGTCATCGAATCAGTTCTCTGGTGGCAGCACCACCCTACAAGGAGCTGTGTGGGACCGCACCGGAGCGGCACGTCCCCTCAGCAGCTCCTTCGCTCCTGCGTTACTCCATCCCAGCCCTGCCACCCCCAAATGTTCCCCATCTGCGAGGAGAAGGATTGGGGTGAACATGTTCAGAGCTGACTGCAAATTCAGGTACCTTCCCTGGACAGGTTTTGTTCAGACTCACCTTCCACGTTTCGCAGAACGCTAATGAGCGGAGCACTAACAGCTAGCTACGAGGCATTTGCTCTGCTCTGGGGGCCCTCCTGAAGTCACTGAACTTTGGATTTGTTCTTTACAGAGCTATTAAAGCCTTGTGGGGGAAAATACCCAATTTGGGATTAATACTTTACAAATTATTTTACTTTTTTTTTTCTCCTGCATTGTATTGCTAGAGATTTCTGCATGGCAAGAGAGTAATTATTAACCAGTTACTTGGAATTAGAGGAGAACACTTAAGATTTAAAACCACAAACAGTGCATGTGCACTTAAAAAAAAAATATTCTCAGGAACAGCAACAAGAAGCAAGGGAAAAATTTGCTAAAGGTTTAGGCCCTTATTTAGGCTTCACAGAAACCCAAATAAAATCAACAAGGCTAAATCTAGCTGCATTATGGAATAATTTATATGCCTGAAGCAACACAAGGAAACACAGGAAATATGACCATACTGCAGATTTAAATACACCCTAAAGTATAATCAGAACAAGTTCTCCCTTCATTGCTTTGCTCCTCTGTGACTGAAAGCAGAAAAGTTTAATGTTCATTGAATACTGTTTTAGCATTACATGGCTAACTACCATGTTTGAGTGTGCAAGCAGAGCGCAGGTGAAGCAAAATGAGTGGGAAACAACAGAAAATAATTTGTGAATAATAAAACACCACTAGGGATCTAAGTGTGTGTACAAACACACAAAGAAGGAAATCATCTCTAAAAATCAGTTTACATTAGCCATTTCTGTACTAAATTACTACAACAGGATGCAAGTCCTGCAATCTTTAACTCTCACAAGAATGTTTGCTTCTAAACTAACCATAAAGATGGTTAGATGGTTCCACGGAGAGAGAAAACAGTGTTCTCAAGTTTAAGCACACAGTAAAGAGAAATACAGTTTAAAATACTGTGCTTTCCCAGGGTCAAATTAAGCAGGAACCAGTTCTCTGTTGGGGAAAAAAAAAAAAAACCACCACACCCAACACCCCCCACTTCCTCCCCCCCCCTAAAAAAACCACGACAAAATTGTATTCTTGAACTATAGCTCTCCCTGTGATATTTTTTGTCTCTTCTCTTCTTTCCCTTAAATATTTATTCCAGTTACACCTCCCAAAACAAATGCTGTTATTCTGTCAGGGCGGAAGCAGGTTTAATAACCAACACAGGCACTGGTCTCTTGCACAAACGGAGGGGACTCAGTGTAAAAAATGAATCAAACAGCAACAACAAAACCAGAAAAAAAATCACCCAGTTTGCACTGAATCCCAGTTGCCTGCACAGGATGGAGGGGAAGAGGTCAACCAAATAAGCAGAGTATTCTTTTTAAAAGATCACTTCAAAATCACAGGGCTGGACAGGAGGGGAAAGTAGAAAAGGATGCAGGGAGGAGACAGGAACGCGTGAGTGCTTGTGGAGAGGGGTATGAAGGAAGGGAGCGAATGTGAGGAGCACTGTGAAACCCTGGATGATTTGAGAATCACAGTATACAAATAAAATATGGAAAAAGCATTTTTGGCTCAGTTAGAACGTATTTTTAGCAGTAAGGGCCACTTCGACAACTATAGAAGTGTAAAAAACACACAGTTAAGCAAACACGCAGCCATAAAGTATTTTAGAAATGCCATATTAAATACAAACTACTGTGGCTACATTGCTTGTCAGTTAATGTCACTCTGCACTGGACAGCAAACCTGGAAAAATAAGGTATAGAAAGAGTAAATTTATACAAACTTATCTGCTACAGGATGAATTAGAGGACTTGGGAAGACCAACCACCACCCAGAATATAGATGCATTTTAAATAAAGCCCATGTCCTATCATTAAGAGTGTAGGAGAGGAGGGAATATCCTGAGTAATAGGAAAACCCAGTATCTGTGTTACTGGGTATACTGGTGAGCGCAGGGCCAAAACAGCCAGCATGCACCCCATCTTGCCAGCTCCGCACACTCCTCGTCGGCAGAGATGCCTCCCTCTGGAGTGGCCCAGCTATGCCTAAGCCAGGCTGGTGCTCCTGGAGCCAGCAGAACTGCCTGCAGAGCAGAAGTCAGAACCTCAAAAAAGGGAGAAAATAGTATCAAACCTGAAGCTGAGAAAATTCTGTACATATAAAAACACTCAGGAGTGCATGCCATTGTTCACAGGAACACAACAGTAGGTAATAAGCTTCTTTTTTCTTTTTTTTTTTCTTTTTTTTACAATCTTAATACACAGAGATTCATATGCTGCAAGCTCAAGTTTTAACAAAGTATAGCACTGCCAAAATAATTAACCAATTTACATGAGCCTCTGAGTAATTCAGATTATTCTTAGAAAATGTGCCAAAAAACCTGGGGCAAGGAAGGGTGAAATCTCACAGGCAAAGCACGATCAGCTTTCACTGCTCTGCTGTTCTTCAAAACCAGCATCATAAGAATTGCACAGAGAGTCTTATGCAGAGCAGGACACTGAAACAGCTCCCCCTCCACGTGACAGCCAGCAGCTCAGGCAGCTCGACAGGATACGGCCGGCACGCACGCCCAGCATTGCTGGGGTCTCAGGGAGTCCTTTCAGAGAAGTTCTGCTCCTTATTTCTGCCTGAGGGTTCCCAGTGAAGCCTTACAACTACGCATTGCACGTCCAGTGAGGGAGACAGAAAAACTCTACTTTGCTATTCTTTATGTTCAACAAACAGGAAGACCATTAAGAAGGTAAGTAGAGAGTGCATAAATGAAGATGTGCTAAGGAGGTGTCCTGGTTTTGGCTGGGATAGAGTTAAATTTCTTCCTACTGCTGTGTTTTGGATTTAGTATGAGAAAAATGTTGGTAACACTGATGTTTTCAGTTGTTGCTAAGTACCCTCCTAATCAAGGACAGCTCCCATGCCCTCCCAACTGAGCTAGGTACACAAGATGGGAGGGAACATAGTCAGGACAGCCAGCCCAGCTGGCCAACGGGGTATTCCATGCCATGTGACGTCATGCTCAGTAGGTAGCATGAATGGTAGGCATGTTCCAGGAGGTAGCGATCGCTACTTGGTTATCGGTCAGCGTGGGTGGTGAGCAATTGCATTGTGCATCACTCATTTTGTATATTCTACCATTATCATTATTACTTACCCTTTTCTGTTCTATTAAACTGTCTTTATCTCAACCCACGCGTTTTTTCTCACTCTTACCCTTCCGATTCTCTCCCTGTCCCACTGCGGGGGGCAGGGGGAGTGAGCAAGCCGCTGCCTGGTATTTGGCTGCCTGCCAGGTTAAACCATGACAGGAGGCAATCAGCTTCCATCTCAATCTTATCCAGCCCTGGCAGTGAGTTTTGTTAAACATCAGTACTTAACAGAGACTGAGTTTCAAAGAGGAAGTTTCAGCCCAAACAGCAAACTTCCAGCTTTAATTTATTAAATGAGGGGCGAGGGAAGCACACACACACATTGAAAGCATCACTTTTGTGTGTATATTTTAGTACAAAGGAAAAGAGGGTGAATTTAAAAGCAAAATGAAGTGAAACTTGCGTATTACTTACGATAATCAGTGTGGATCTCATCTATTTCTTCCTCTGTCTGGTCCTTTGTGAAGGTCAAACTCTACAGAAATCACACAAATGTTTATTTACAGAAACAAAAAGATGATAAAGCTGCATACTTTAAAACTAGAGACTTAAAACTGGAAGAAGGATCAGCTGTCTTTTTCCCCCACCAGCTCTTACCATCTCATCCACAGACAGTAATATATATTTAAAGTATGTATACATGCTGTCTTGCTTTGCTTTCACAAAGTCAACAGGACTAAGCCAAGCCACCCCATATAATACCCAGCATGTGTGGACCATAAAATACTTCCTAATACTGTGCAACAAACATGCTCCAAAAGTCACAAAAGTATCATATGTCATGGGAAAAGAACAGGCGCTATTGCTGATATGGAAGCAAGGAATTTGCTAACTAAATCCTAGAGAATTCTAGGAAGCAAAATATTCCCCACACTGCCATGGAGGGTCAAAATCCTCCAATATGACCAAGGGGAACATTTCTCAAGAATTTTTATTGCAATCAAAAAAATGCTCCTACTTAAATGGTTTGGGCATAGAAACATCAGCAGTACATGAAGAACCGCCCATGACAAATGAGTCGTATGAGAAAATCATGTTGATTAGAAGATGGTATATGCGAATTCCAACAGGCAACCTGCGAATCTGGGAATTCCCGTAATAAAGTGATAGGCAAACATGTTCAGTGCCCACTCTGCAATTTCTCCTAGCCATCCCTCTCTTTGAGAACAAAGATTAATAGCTTACATTTTCACCGGTTTTATTAAACTCAAGCTGAACTCGAATCTTCTCATTCTTTTCCAGCTCTTTAACAACCTCTGCAACTGTTTGAAAATAGAAGAAAGGGATCACTGAAACAGGAGCTGTTAAATAAAAAGATGTAACAGCACTGAATGAAACTATCATGAATTTAAACCACAAAAAGACAAACCAGCATTAGCTCTCCAACAGTGAAAACTCAGACTCCGATCACAGGCAAATCCAAATGGCATGGTTTTACACCACTGCTCAGCGGGCGTTTGTTCACGCCAAGGAACCGCTCCCATCTGCAGCAGCTGAGCAGCAGAGGCAGTGCCCGAGACTCGGGACCAGGAGGCACGGTCGGGAGCCGTGGGCCTGGGCCGAGGCGCCTTGCAGCAAGCCGCCCGGTGCTTGCCGGCAGCTGGCTCTCAGCCACCTCCTGGGCCGTTGCTCTCATTTCCTTTGTATTAAATTCATGGGAAAATGTAGTCTTTTCAAATCATATGTGAATCTTACTCTAGCATACTATAGTGTTTCTGCTGTGTACAGGCATGCCTTTTATAACAAGTTTCCATTTTATAACATATCTTTAAACGGAAGATAAAATAATGACATCTACTGTTTATCTTATTTTTACCTCCAAGGACTACCTTCCAAGGCAATGCAAAACTGTCTGCAGGCTTATGTCCAAAACCCATAGTCCAAAGATGAATTACAACCTACTCTAACTATTAAGTCCGACACATCAAAAGCACATAAACAGACATAACCGCGTTTGTTAATATTTTAACTAAAACTACAGCTATGCAAGACCCTGCATGGTTTATTTTGACATTTACTTTTACAAATCTGTTTTTACACTTAATCATCTTCGCAGAGCTACCAGGTAGCTACGGGTATTTATTAAAACAAACACTTTCAGCAGACAGTAAAGTATCCAGAAAACATGAAGCTTATTAAGCTGTGAAGGCATAAAACCCGTTCAAAACTGGTTTACGCAAAATCCAGGAATTTGGCACCTATGCTTCAGAAGTTCAGCTATTCGTATTATATAGTGACCTTGGGTTCACTGCTACCACTGAAAATGCATGTCCGCATCTTAAGTGCTAGTTTAATAATTCACCCTTCATAAATAGGTATTGAGCCAGAACTCTTACAAAGTTTTGCATTATTTAGGGCAGACTAGCTGAAGTACACTGTAACACCCTGTGCAACTCTTCATTTAGCTAGCCTGGATGAACAACACAGACAGGGACTTGGCGCTACTTCATTACCAGCATCAAGTGAAGAATCGCCCCAAGAGCCGAGTACCTCCCAGCACGTTAAAGGGCTAACAGAGAACCGCCTGTTCTGCACAGCTTCGGTCCTAGCATGCCTTGAGCAGACATGAGGCTCCAGTCGAACCATCCACTTCTCACGCCGACCTTGCTGCAGCACAAGGGCAGCAGTGCAACCCCAACCCCGCGACCCTCCCTTTCCCCTCACCCGGAGCTGCCGCAGCTCCCAACCAGCCCACTCCTCACTTCTACTTCAAAACTGCTCCGCTCCTGTTTAGCCATCGGACGATGGCGTACCTCCACGACCTGCAGCAGCTTTACGTCTACTCCTGCCCCTGGGGAACTTGGAGAGGGGCTTTGAGAGTGTTTAATTAAATTTCCAATATTAACATAAATCATATCAAGATTCTGATACAAGTGCTGTTCTCGCAGACTTAAACAACAAACTTCCTAAACGTCTATCATCGCGGAAGTCAAACACAATCTTAACTGTGTGTGCTGGTTCTCATCCCAGAGACTTCCTGAAGTCCTAGAAAACAATTTTTGAAAGCATTTATGTTTATTTTCCAAAGTGCTTAGGCACAAACTAAGCAGTGACACTTGGCACCTAAATCACTTAGCCACTTAAACCTTCTTAGTCAAATTCTTAAAATGGTTAAAGGAGCAAAATGAAAAAGCAAATAGGGTTGGTTGCAAACTCGCTTTTCTCATACACTTGCTCCCACAATCCAAGCCAAGAGCTGCTAAGTGAAATCAAGATTTCAAAAACCAGGAGCCTAAAGTTTGGCTGCTAAATTCATATTTATAGTCCTCGGTGACTGACTTTATTTTTCAAAAAGCACCGCACCTAGTGGTTCTGCCTGTTTATTAAAGCAGTTGAACACCGAAAACATCATTTATTTTTGAAATGCCACGGTAGAAGTTGTGGATATTCAGCATTTCCGACTGTCTGATCACACATAAAACTACATGCACATGGAGTTAACATATGAGCTTGTAACACTCACTTGAAATAAATACTCCCCTATACTGTCAAATTGGTTAAATGATAACTGACAAGTTAAGTGGTTTTTTTACTGTATTGAAATCTGGCATCCTTCTCAAAGGGTACTTCTCACCCCTGGCCCCAAATTATTCCTGTTATAGATAAGCGACAAATAGCAAATGTAAAGTTTAGCTGTGCACCTGCAGTGGTATGCTATCTGACCCCAGAGATGCTGAACCCAGCTATGCACGAGCAGCTCCCAGCTCACAGCCCTGCGCTGCCCTGCTCGCTCGTTCAGTTCCTGACAGTGCCACTGCCAGCGAGACCAAAAATTTATCGGGTCCAAATAGTTTCTGAGCCCTTCAATACAGACAAAAACATTCAGAATTTTTAACAACTTCTGGAAGAAAATGGTGAAGGACTGAAGTCTCTCTGTAAACATGAAAATTAAAGAGATCAAACTGAGAGTGAGGAACAATATATCTCATCTCTCTACATTTGAAGAAACTGAGACCAGCTCCTGCCAGCAGCAGGACTGACCTATGCTACAGACCTAGCAGACAGCAAGCTGTATCCTGCAACCAGTGCAGAAAATACAGTACCAGCTATGTGAGAATTTCCAGGACACTAATGGCTGTGCGGCTCCCAGGAGAGTAGTATCAGAACACCATCCTGTTAGAAATTCCTTTAAAAGGGCTGTTTTCCATAAGCTTCTAATCAAATAAAAAAATAATATAACTATAAATCTGATGTCTCTCCCTCACCCACACACGCCAGTGTATTTGTGCTGTTACTTGTATCTCTTGCAGAACTGAATTGAGAGATGACAAATGACACATCTTTAAGAAAGATATATGTTTTCATCTTGTATAAAATAGAATATCACAAGATGAGCTAGGACAATTCTCCCTCTAGCTCATAGATGCTATTCAAAATTTAGAAAATGGCCACACTGCCTACAAAACCAGGCAGCACAAATACCCTACTCCGATCTCACCCTCCCTGTTCCAGCCCTGGCATTTTCCAAGCATTAAGCCTGAGCACATGCAAACAATAGACTGCTGTTTAAAGGAAGTTTATACTGCACTCGCATTACAGACTGAAACACATTCTCCTTATCCCATGCAGCTGTTTAATGCTATACACAGTCTGAGTTTAATTGTATAAAATTGCTGCCAAACACCTAAATTGATATAAACTCCAGCAAAACATTAACACATTTGTATTAATTCATTCTACCCTTACTACCATCTCCAAAAAGAAATCTAATTTTGAAAACAAATCCAATAAAAATATAAAAGTCTCAGTGTATACGAGGAAGAGAACAAATTCAGAACAAAAGATAAATTAATAATCCATTCACTTACCAAGAACCTTATGTATTTCCAATTTTTTGACTAAAAGCCTCGGAGTCTAATTTGGAGGCACTCATTAAAATGCAAAGCCAATAAAAACACAGAACATTTTTCAGAACAGGGTTAGTAAACCAGGAAGTATCAAAGAATTTCAACACAAATTTACATCCTTGCTGCATACTTCCAGAATATAGCAACACATTTCTGGTTTTCATTAGATTTCCTTTTTTTGCATTAATCTTGACTTATACAAGATAAATTTTTCCAGCTCCAGTTTTCCCAAATATTCAAACCAGCCTTATTCCTACCCTGAGAACTAAGAGAAGGAGAAATGCATACAAATAGTTTGCGATGGTAACAACTTTCCTAGAATTTCTAACTTACCTGATTTGGGATTTAGAGAATCACATTGAGCATTATACATGTGCACAAATTCTTGGTGTCTTTTAATGAGCTGTTGTCGGGTCCCATGGGTAGACAGACCATGTTCCTTTAGTTTCTTCTTCAAATCACGATCAGAGAGCAAGTTGTAAACAACTTTAGACATAGGCTTCCTTTTGTGAGCAGAACTGCAAAAGGAAAAGGAAACAAACTTTTTTTCATAACGCTCCTATGAAAGTCAAAATACTGAGTTATATTTTTACAGGGTATTTCACCCACTCTGGATAAGAAATACCTAAAAGAATCATTTCAGCCACGACAGATACACAACCAATTACACAGTGTATCACAGATGCAACAGCAACAGCTCTAGGAAGCCAGAACACTTTTTCCATCTACCAAAAAGAAAATTTCAAATGTGCAGAAATCAGTAGGTCTAGTCTGATTTTCCTTAGGAAGTGATGCAAATGCTGTTCATGTAACAAGTACTGCAGCTCCGTTTTTAGCATCTACAGCAAAGGCTTCAGAATCACATCAGCAAACACAGTATTGTTCATCTTCATTAGGATCAAGCCTATATTCACTCTGAATTCAAAAGGAAGCGTACTGGATTCAGACTGCTGAAACACAGTTTTTCTACCCAAGTACTGGCCACGTCTTACCTGAATCAGTTGCTGAAGTTTTAAAAGCATTAAAACTGCAAGCCAAAACTTGAATTAGGAGATTTTTCAGCTTTCTGGGAAAATTACTTCGAGAAAGATACAGTCATGTACCTAAAGCAAATCTGTAGTTCCCATCTAACAGAAGAGTAGTTTGGTAATACAGAAAGTAACATTAAAGAGAATTCATAGTGCTCTCAGATGAATAACATCCTTCACACTGCCTTATGTCAGAAGAACTCAACGTTCCTGGCATAACTAGGAAAAACATCTTAATTACAAGAAACTGCCATAGAAAATTCAAGTCCTACTACAACTTTCATCATCTAAAATTAGCAGAACAGTTTCCTTCTGCACAAATTAGCTCAGTCTTCCCTACAAAAAAAAATCCTGGTGAAATACACTCAAACTAGCCAACAAAGCTACAGAAATCTACTTACTGCCTCACTTACCTTGTTCAGCTTAAATAATTCATTAGTTACAGAAGAAGAGCATTTAGTTAGAGACACTTTTCTTTCCGCAGCACAATAAAGTTCAGCTGCACTGCTCTGAATTAGAGAAGTTAACAGCTTCCCATTGTGAAAGCAAGACTTATTTGAAAACTGTATTCAGCAATTTCATTTTATCACGTTGAAAATAAATTTCAAAGTTTAAAAAAAAAAAGCTTACGCAAAAACTGTAATTAATTCATTTACTCTCATATAGCCCTTGTAGCATAGCTGGCAAAAAGATGCATTACCACAATACACTTTTCAGGAAAATACTTCTCTCAGATTCTTTTGGGAAATATAAAAAATTTCATTGAATAATTAAATCTTTTGAAAGCCCTGAAAAAGCATTGTATCATGACCTAGAAGAGTGATGACAGCTTTGCAAGCAGACAGCTACAGGAAAACAGTTCACAACAGTTTTGAGTCTTAACGTTGGTGGGTTTTTTTCCCCATCCTTGAGAAATGCAGTGTTCTTTGTGAACATACACTTACCTGTTGTAATTACTCCTGTGCAGGTTTGGGGGACTAAATTATCTGTTCCGCTGAAATACTGCTCAACTGTTAACATAGCATGCCATGTGCTCCTAATTTGAGAATAAACAGAGCTAAAATTCCTCAGAGAAGAACTAGAAATGTGCTGTTACTGAAACCCAAACAACACTGCCATAAAATAAATACATTGCAAAAAGCCAGCATTTAATACACAATAGCCAGTCCCTAAGGAGAAGTATCTTGCATGATAATTTCTTAAGATCCAAGCAGTCTAGATAAAATAAGGAAAGTTTAAAATTCTGTTAGGGACATGGGCTTGACACTAAAGAAAGATCTGGCTTTTATTTCCATTCATTAAGAACAGAGAAAACACCAAAAACATCCCAAATGAAAATTAAAATGTAACATCAGATTTCAATATTAATTTACCATTTATTCATCTTCAAAGTCCTTTAGCTTATAGATTGCATTCTAAGCATGACTGGGCAAAATAAGAGCTTTAACATAAAACTACTTTCTAATTGAAGGTTCAGAGGAATTTGAAATACAAGCATGCAGTAAAACCACATGCAGTAAAAGTCCCTTGCAGTTCTTAAGTCTGATCAGTTAGAATAATAACGGCCTAAATTTATGCTAGTAAGTAAAACAAACTGAAATCTACACTTCTGATGTGAATGTGATGACCGTGACAAATTCTAGGGCAGAGGCATAACATCAAAGACATGCATTAATCTTATGGAAATTGAGATCTTAACGAAACAATCTTGACTGGGGCAACTTGAAAAGAAGCACAGTGAGCAGAGTAAGGTGCTATTTATTTTTTAACTTGACAGCTAGTGAAGCAATTGTCTTTTGGCGCATCTGAATCGGGGGAAGCAATTCATTCACCAAGTGAAAAATGGGAGTAAGAGTTATCTGAATAGAATTTTAATGCTAGTGAGCAGAAATGTGACGAGAACAATGTACAGACTAAGTTTTACTCCCCGTGTTGAATTCTTTGAAACATTGTCCAGTGTTTTCTTGCCACTAAAAGCCAAAAAGTAATTCTACTGGCGATCCACATACTTTCGTGAGGGGAAAATCACCGCTATCGCATTTATACAGTGATTTTAGAGTGATCTATACAGCAGGTAAACACAATCCACTGTATTACAACCCATCAACTAATATTTCTTATTTCAGCAGTGCAGAAAAATGGCTACATGCATACAAAAGTTCTTAAAGTTGTTTCTTACCTTCTGAGGCTGTCCTTCTTCTCTTCTCTTGTCAAGCAGCTATCCAGATGTTTGTTTATATATTGCTCTGGAATAGCAACCTCACAAACAGGACAATCCACTGAAAGCAAGGGAGAAGGAATTTACTAGCAGGTATATTACAGTAAAGAGCAAAATGTTTTCATCTGAAAAATTAATTGTTGATTGAAGAAAATCAAAATCCAGAATTCCAGATTTCTTTTTTTAAAAGATCTGGCATGTCTATCCAGAATCTTCATTTTTTGCTTTCGTTTTCATTCCAGAACACTTATTTCCCTCTCTATGTAATATCAGAATGGCTCTCATCCTCCCTGCAGTCAGATGGAATGAAATCTGTAATAAAAATCTAGAATAACATACATACTACGCAGAAACCTAGAGGATAATACAAACATAAGAATATTTCCGTGCAGTTTTTCACTCCTAAATAAAGGAAGCGGGTTCATTTTCATAAAACAGTATAGCACAAACTTAATTCATATTAACACAATGTTCCCAGTCTATGGCTCTCAACAGGACTGTCAAAACATGAGTTAACTCAGCCTCACAGGAATCCTATGATCCAACCATGCCTCATACTCATTTCTTAGTACAGAGAACTAGATTTCATGACTTGGGCTCACGTATAAACATTACCTGTAAAGACAGTCAAAAAACACAGACTTAAAATATTTGTCTTTAGCAATCACATGATGTCAAAAACAAATGGCTAACTTTAAATGAAGAGTATGAGAAAGAGATTCTTTAACTGATATCCTCTGTATTAGTATGAAGGAAGTTGGTTTTGATTTAAAAGACAAAACAAAAAACAACCTGTGAAACGTTGTGGGAATTTAGAGAGTTATCTGGTAACACTGCTTTGCAATTCCTGACTCCCATGACATCATATTCTAGTCAAAGGTTAAAAAAAAAAAACTGGGACAGTAACATAACACAATAGTTCTGAGCAGTCTGTTATTGTATTTGAAGTTAACATTTCAATTCTTAACATAGGAACAAATAATATTTACTACAACCACTTCAGCATTGCCTCATTTCAAGTCTTTCATTTATATTGTTTGACCAACTACTTTGCATTTGTGGAAATAATTTCAATGTAATGCATGCTTGAGGATTTAATAAGGTCATAAAATGGTAAGCAAGTGAAAATTTCAATTGCTCAAGAATAAATGAGCAGTAAAATTTCATATGAGTTTTAAATTACTAACGCGAGCAGGTCTAATGCATAAAACTAGGAAACGTAACTTCTAGTTAAGTTGATGCCATTTTCATATGGCTACTTTTCTGGCTGTATTACGTCTTTAAGCAGTATTTACCCAGCTAATGAATAAATATGAACTTCAGAGTTCCAGCTGAATAAATTGTTAAACAAAAGAACAGATAAATCTGAACTAATAAGAATCAGTATTGTACTCCTACATGCTCTTTTATTTTAATTTAGGCTTTTAATTGGGTCAATAGGATGGCGGCCATCATGTCAAAACTAAGAGGTTCCTGTCATTTTATCGTAGTTGATTAGCATAAATGGGCATTTTTATGCTTCAAAATAAATTAATCTTAACACTGTAGAATTACAGAAGAATAAAGCAGATTCCTATTCATACAATCTCCAGAAGAAAGTAATATTAACAAAACTGAAACATGATCATTTTGATTGTGGGTGCACCCCTCAAAATAACAAACATGTTATAAAATACCTTGCTTCTGGTTATTTAACGATAGGAGAGCAGAATGAATGTCAGTGTTGCCTGTCTAGTCATTAAGGGGAAGAAGAGAAAATTACTTCATTTTTTACTGAGTAAGTCTGTTGTGCAACTATTGGTTTTTTAGAGCTGTTACTCAAAGCAAACGAATCTATAAGTGTTGAACTCAATTTAATTACTTGGCATCAGCCCAGACTTCTTCAATCAAGAATATGCTTGTAGCAGAGCTGTCCCACTTGAGCAGTAATCTGAATGAAGCATAGTCCAGTTAAACGGGAAGCATCTGAACATGCCAGTGCAGATCAGAACAATGCAGAGAAATGAGACGAATGCTACATACTGAAGGTACTCCAATGCACAATCACGGACTTGGGGAAGAAAACAGGACAAAAATCAAAAATTAAGCATCTCACCTTTCTTGACTACTTTTTCCACAGATGTAGAAGACTTTTCATGACTTTTGGCGCACTCAGGACTCTCTCGTGATCCCACTTCATTGTCTTTACCATCAACCTCTGCAGAACTGCTGTAAAGGTTATGGTGTTCCTCAGTTTTGAGAATCTTCTGATCTGTTCCTGCCAGGCCCTCTGCCTTTGTTAAGGTGCAAACTTTTTCCTTTCTCAGGAAACTGTCAATCACTGGCACCTCTTCTTTTAAAACTGGACAAGAAACAGGACTCCTAATGTGGCTTTTGCCAGCCAAATGCCTGCTGCAGGCCAATGGAGATGAAATCAGTGGAGTATCCAAGACCAACTGGAACAGCTGTTGTCTAGAAGCATCCATAAGACAATGTACAGTTAGCTACATTGAACAGTATTAGCTTTTTCTTTAAGAAGAAACCAGAACGAAAACAGATAGAGCTTTTCTCCCATTCCTTCCTCCCTCTCCCCCTTGCAGCACTTGGGAATTGACTAGCCCACACAAACCAGGAGCAGGAGCACGCCAGCTGAGCCTCACCATGCTCTACAGAATCAAATAATTATTTTCCTGATTTTCAAACAAAATAAATTACATTTTGCAATGTAATAAAATGCAAAAACATCACATGGAACACAGTAAAGAACATAAAGTTCTCCCCCTTACTTGAAGATAGCAGATGACTATTTTCAAGTCAGAGTATTTTAAGCGCTGTACCAGCTGTGACAGAGGCTCCTGAAACCAAAGAGCTTAGCAGAAAGCATTGCCATATTCCTTCTGTCCCTCCTTACTGTGGGTCTCCTTAGTACAGCTGCTCACTGCCCACCCAGCTGAGCAGAACCCCACCAAGAGATAACTGCATGCTTGTCAGCTCTTGAGATTTAGTGTCAGCTAACCCAAACTATTTCTGTCACGTGTCATCAATGATCAGCCAAAGAGCACAAACCCTCCATTCTTTTCTCATATAAAATAAGGGAAAAACATAACCGCCCTCAAAAACAGCCCACTTCAATCTCCACCAGAACGCTTACCACCCATCTATGCATGCATTACTCCCTACTTGTACTCCCTGCACTCCCTCAGGGCTAGCAAATGTCAAGACATGAGTTAAACAGAAGTCTCTTTTCAAAGAAATAAACTTCTATTTTATCAGTAGGAACACAGTAGCAGCAGGCAGCTTATTCTCCTGTCCGTCTCAGCTTTGAGGTAATATGAAGAATTATAAAGTCACAGTTGTCCTAACTCAGGCAACTGTAAAAGATCTTAAAGACATGTTTTATTCCTACCCCCACCCCAGGGGTTTTTGCAGAATCCTGTTTATTTTACCATGTACTTTATACAGATCGATCTAAGATAAATTAAGCCAGAGACTGCATTCTTGGCAGGGAGTCGGCATAGCAATGCACCTGTCTAGACTGCCCGCATACCTTGTGGTTCACTTTCACTCCTGTATCATCACAGGTGGAGGGAAGGCTTTCCCAACTAACGTCAACGATGGACAAACCACATGTTCCACTCTTAACCCACTACTACTTTGACAAGAGTCCTTCACACCCTGAAGGTCACAACAAAGTTCGTATCATCCAGCCAAAAACAGCCAGCAGAAGTACACATGCAGTCATTAACTTACTCCTCTTTAATTCACTGCTCCATCATCCCTTGGCAACACCATTCACCTGAGCTCTCCAAGAGTGCAAAGCCTGCACAGCTGCCCAGGTGTTCATTAGCTTTCTCCCTGACTTGCTGCCTCCCAAGCCCCAGCCTGCTGCATCCTCAGAAGTCCTACCCAAAAAAAGGCAATTGCAAAAAAAGTTTTACCATCTACAAGCTCTGACAAACTGGGACAGCTTACAAAAAACAGAAAATCTTAAAGGAAATGAAGCATCTCTTTAACAATGAATGGAGATGGGTTCACCTCTTAGAGATACTCTGTCCCCACTAGCTAAGTGGGGTAGGGAGGACCTCCCCTTCACTCCTCTTTCTAGAAGGATAACACAAGAGGGATGGGAACAGGGGTGGCTTTTGAGGATGCTGAGGAGTCTAAGAGCCCCTACACCAAAAGGCACGGTATACCTCACGTGCCCCTGTGCCTCCACCTCCCCAATCCATGCGGCGCTGAAGGCAGTTCAGCATTGGGTAACTACCTGGGAAACTTTTCAGTCTTTGAGGATAAAGATTTTTCATGTCTGGGAAGGACAACTAATTACGAACTGTCTGTATATATCAACTTGTTTTTAAAAGATACATAAGTCACCAGGTGACCCCACGATTATACTAGTTTAAGTTAGGTTCCTGGTGAACAACCAGAGCAACCAGCTCAGCACAGCGAACATTCTGCACTGGTTATATTCAACCCAGATTCAGAAGCCCAATTTGGAGTTTAAGTTTCCTGGATTACTGGATGTAGTGACCACATCTGTCAGTGGCAATTCACATCTGTCCCAAGACACTCTAACTTTCTGCAGTGCAAACAAGTGTAATTAAGTGTGGCAGCAAAACTATGTTTTTCTCTCTGCTTATGCCTAGATATGGACTGGCAGTTTTTAAGGAGGTTAATTCCCCGGCTCAACACAGACACAGAGTGGTCTAGCTACTGATGGCATAGGATCAACTCCACAGGGAACTCAGGAGCTAGTTAATGGGAACATAAACAGAGTGCCTTCACGCAGCCCTGTCCCACTCCTGCTTCACATTTGCTGTTTACAAGGGGTATATTTCATCCAGAAGCATCGGAAAGGTCTGATAGCGTGATCTGCTCAACACGGCCATTAGCAGCAATAATTGGCAGACAAAGTATCTCATTTTACTGCAGATAAATGCACAGTATTCTTCAACTTAAAGGTAACAAACTATAGCCTCAGAAGACTTGTCGTATCACAGATGGTTGTATTCTACCATCAGGTTCAACAGCAAACAAATTAGTTGTCTTTTATTCCAAATAATTAATCCTCAAAAGGATGCAGATGGGTGTTCGACCAAAGATGTAGTTTTTTAAAAAAATTTTCTCCCCTTTTTGAACAAGGAATTTATCTTTTGGTTATGTAAAAAAATGTCTATTTCTTCAGGCTCCCCCAGGTTTTCATACAGGCAGCCTACCATTAAAGTAGCTGATCAAAGTCAACACACAGTCTTATATTATTTTTTTGGCTCTTAAGCAACTATTTTTACACAAAAGCCCAGCATCCTATGCTACAGCAAGCTAAATTCTGCATGGCTCAGGAAACATAAAACAGACCCGTAAATGCAATCATTTGGCATCATATCACAGTTGTCCCATAAAATAAAGAACGATACAGCCCCAAAAGGAAAAAATATCTTAACAATTAGCCAGTTGCCTATGTTCATTGTCTTCACCTAGAGAACACAACTGATCTCCCTCATCTTTTCAGTGTATTTTTTACTGCTTTTGAGAGCTCCTCCTCTTGTCAAAGTAACACACTCTACTATTTGTAACCACCAATTACGTCTGCTTATTTTTCCAGAATATGTATTCACTAGCTAAAATGTATTTCCCAATGGGTGTTCACACTAGCTGACAACACTCCTAAAAGTCAAACTTCACATCAGTTTATCTTTTCACCAGACTTAAGAGTGATTTGTATATCTTTCTCAGGAAGTACCACAATAGCACGGCTTATAGTACCTCGAATTCTCCAAAGCAGAGACTTCAGTAGTCTGATTTGTCCCTCAGGAAGGCTACCAGGCCAAAACACACGTTTGGAGGTGGCCCTGGACCTGAGATGGACTACAAACCCAAGCAAAGGGCAGTTGAGAATTCCGATGAAGGCTGAAGGTAGAGCTGGAGGGAGGAAGGCAGCTCCGTGGCCAGCAGAAGCAGACAGCAGACACACACCAAAAGGCTCAGAGTGCAAAGCTTGGCATTTTTGCCATGAGTCCTGTACGAAAGGACAGACTTCTGAACACAGGAGCATTGCTCCAGGCCTGACAAGACAGACTACCCAAATAAAAGACCATCTCACTTCAAATGCAACTTGTTAATATTTGCATGACGGCAGCCAAAACAGAGAAATCTTCTGAACAGAAATCTCAGATTCTGTAAGAACAGTTGTCTCAATAAAGTATGGTCTGGTATTAAAAAAAAAAAAGAGAGAGAGAAACCGGAAAAACAATACAAAAACCAAAACCTATCCTAACAACAAGTTTATTATCAAGGTTGCTTTAGTTACACCATTGGTCTACAAATAACCATATGGAGTTTTTCCTCATATTGAAGTTTTAAAGACTTATGAATAGACTTTCCGACGGGATCTGATTTTGGCACAGAATCAATGGAAAGAACACTAGGACGAGAATATGAAAACTTGTTTGCCAAAACACACATGAAATCTCTGTATGCCTTTTTTTTTTGTGGGAAAATACAGAAAATGCTAATACTAAATTCAAAAGAGGAGAGAGAAAAGTCCCAGACTGGCTTTTCCCAGACCGCGGTATTTGGGGCCCGCTGCGCCGCTCCACCGGCTGCGGGATGACACCTAGCGGCCCCGCCGGACCTGCGCCCCGGACCCCGGCGCCCCAGGAGCGGAAGAGCCGGAGCACCGCAGGCCCTCCTCGCACAGCCCTGGGCTACCCCACAGTACCTTCACCAACTGCCACTCCCCTCCCTCACCGCCAGAGCGAATTACTCAAACTTCTCATTATTCACAGGAATTCTGATAGCTGTTATTGGAGTGATTCGGACAAGCCTGACTAGAGTGGAAGATTCATCTGTCATTCAGAGACAGACAGCAGAGTCAAGAGAAAGCATGCAGTTAACGGAGAAGTCCATCCTCTACCATCACCGGACTGTCCGGCTCACCTAGAAACTGATTCTACTGGTAAACCTCAGGACAACACAATTTTCAAAGCGCTCTGCGTTTTGCATGCAGTTTTCAACATTACCTATTATATGCTCTTAAGAATTTGACACAGACTACTATCACCTCTGAAAGGTTTTAGCAGATACAATTTTACCTTCCTGGCACAAAAGCAACAAATGCGTCACAGCTGACAAACCTCAGTTTAAGAGCACAGGCACCTTTCAGGAAGCGCTGAAAGATGATCAACAAGATGTTAGTGAGTCCTAACACGCACTGTTATAACCACTACCTGAATCCTCCTCTGTGACCTATCCTCTTTAATCGCTGGCTTGGGTTAGGACAGGGAGTTATGCTTCTTTTAGTTTAACTAAAAACGGACGGTCATCTTAATACGCTCTCTGCCAGGCATGCTTTAATAACAATATAAACATCTTGCGAACATTTTTTTTCTTCAGATCTGCAAAAAAAAATTTCAGTGTCCTCCTTCATCAAGGACCATTTTATGGCCTGTTTACTTCTCCCTTGCTGAAGCAGCTATGAAGCAGAGAAAGTAGGTGGGAATCTAGTGCTTCCACATGAATAAATTCCAGGGAAGAGATGGGGTTGAGAGTCTTCCCAGGACAGCTCACATAGGACAGTCCTAACTGTACTAAAGGACAATTTCTCTCCTTGAAATTCCTTCTGCAGTCCTCCTGGAAGTTTAGTCAGTGTATTAGAAATGATAGTACCTGCTCACTCAAGCACTCAGAGTGGATGGGTTTATTACTCTGACTCGCTAGCTGTCAAGTAACCCTGATTAGGAAACTAAGATATAAACTTGAAAGTAAAAACATATTTTTCTTCCCTATGTATGAAAAAAGCACAGATCATTTTCAGCACGGACTAGTTGTCTACTTATAAAAGTATAATTCTAATTTCTCTTGCTAAATTTTCTAACTAGGTGATGCAGAAACTGACAATTTTCATCACAATAATCTCTTTATTAGAGGACAATGAAATTAATTTCAAAACAACCCCAAAACTTTACGCTTACTATTTTTGAAGACACTGGCCTTACTGCAACTCATAAAAATATTGTTCATAAAGGAAAGATGGCACAAACAGCCCTCCTGGTCTTGCTCTCCTGACCTGGTCAGAGTGATAAATTCCGCCTGCAAAGCACAAGCAGCAGAGAGAAAGCTGAGTAAGGGTTGCAGTCAGCCTGACAGGAGCCTGTGGGGGTGACTGATCAGAGCAATGCACTCCCTTAACTCCTTCACTGCTCAGGATCTTTGTGTGCACCTGAACCCAAGGGCAAGGCAATATGAATTCAGACATACTAAAGCCTAGTCAAAACTGCTCCTCTACCCTTTCACACAGAGTGTAATGTTAATGGGCCATAATGAACGACACAACATCTTCACTTTTACTGGGAAACATCAGAGTCCACCACTTCTACGGAAGGAGCAGGACTCCCAAGACAGCACTCGCTGAGCACAAATGATCACGGAGGCTCTAATTCTGCAAACACTTGTGCACGAGCTAAATGTTGAGCAGAAGTATAAATCAGATCAGCACTCAGATCTATTTAGAACAATTTCCATTCCATGCACACATTGACCTTGGAGCACAGCTTTTACTTTGCTAAGTACTACCAACATTAACATTTTCTTTCCCCACAGGCCTGACTTAAGAAATGTGTTTGAATTTTGTGAAATACTGAAAAGATTTAAGGCCTAATTTTCATAAACGCTAAACCACCTGAGGCTCAAAGTCAAGTCAGCATGGGCTCAAGGAGCTTAGCAGGTTTCAAAAATCAACCCCTGGACTTTGGATTTGTTTTGGGGAGGGCCAAAAGGAAACAAAGCAGATAGGGAAGGAGGGGAGACAGACGACTTGTCCTGTACCAACATCGCTAGGGCAGAAACCAACAATGCTCTTATGCTTTAATGATACTCATATCACATAAGACTCTCCAGGCAAGCAGTGTTCCCCTCGAACTCAGGCCCATCTGCAGAGTAAACGCAATCCCAGGCTGAGAGAGCCCGAACGCGGGGTGCCTCCATCTGAAGCGACGCAAGATTTACTCGCTATCTGTGTTCCTCTTATGAGTCTCTCTTATTAAAGCAGTTATCATAGTAAGCCGTTTGTTGTTGGGCTTTTCTTACCGAGACCCAGAAAGAAGCCTGCACTGGCTCTCTCTCACCTCACCCCGCACACCCGGTGCAGAACAGAACACTACAGTTTTTATCGTTTTGATCTAACTTTATGTTGAGAAATTGATTGAACTCCAAGTCACAAAAGAAAAGATTATTAAACTACTCTGACTGGTAAGATTTATACTGATCTGTTAAAGCAGTCAAAAAAAATTAACGTGTAAGATTCAATATCATAATGGATCCAAGTCAGCACTACTTGTTCCCTACAAAATTAGACATTACCAAAAAAAAAAGTAATCCATTTATCACTAGGAAACACCAAAGATAGAGTTCAAGCTATAGTAATGGAACTGTAGCATTTCAATTCTTCAAATAAAATCAGTTCAATCTAATAGTGGTCATACGGAAGATTAGATCTTCATCACAGAGAAACTCTTTCAAGAAAGTAAGTCATAAACTGAACTATGCTTCCTATCACTTATGAAGCTAAGAATCTCAATGACTTCAAGCTCCAAGTTCCTTTCAGAGAAAAAGATTATAGTGTATTTGTCTCCCATAGACACAGGAACACATACAAAATACCCAGCAAGTCACAGAGCTGCTTCTAACCAAAAGAAGACAGAGACATAATACAAGAAATCTCATATATCTACAGTGGTAAGCATTTACCAAGGCATGTTTTTTCTGTTGTTCCTATCTTTCAAAGGGATGAGCATATCAAAAATGAATTAAAAATTAAAAAGTAGATAAGAAAACCAGGTGAAAGAGCAATATTCCATTACTTTTCTTATCCAGGAAAACTTGCATTTGTAGTCCCTCAATACCTACATTTTTCCCATCCAATGATTTCACCAAGAGAATTCTCTTGCAAGTTGACCATTACCATTGGACAAAATCTTTCTGTTCAGAATGTCCCCTGCACACATAGGAAGGATCTTAAAAGAAAATCTTTATTACTATTATTTTCCCCATAGAATCCTGATACGTCTGCTTGACTTCCTACATGTTGGAAGAGACCGTAACTTACATGGCAGCTAACAAGAAGCAAAACCAAAATAAGCTTACACAACCCCGACACATCACCTGAGTGGACAGCAACCTTCAGCCAGAAAACTGTAGGATTTTTCCAAATGTGTAAACATTCGTCTTTGACAACATTTCTGTCACACCGCTTTTTTTTTTTTTTTTTTTGCTCAGTCCTCACACCACTCCTCGTTCTGCTCCTCTACAAGGACTCCTGGCCTGGTCACACGAAGTAAGTCACACCTGCCTCTCCAGATGCCAAACCAGAGATTGTATTAATAAAATTACAGTATACCTTGCAGAATTAAAGCTCTTTACTAGTTCATCTAATGTCCGGTTATTTTTCAGGTCGGATTCCGAGACTGCCTATTAAAAAAAGAAAGAAAGAAAAAGGGAAAAAAAAGAAAAAAAAAACACAACAACATTCAAATGCAGTGAAAACAAGTACCCAGAAAATGTTCAAGTAATCAATAATTTGTTTCTTGGATTTATGCCTCAACTACACCCCCCCTAAATTGCTATGTGAATGAAGATACATAAAGTGTAAACATTTTTTCCTGAAAAAAGTTTAGGAAGTAACTGCCTGAGAACTGTAAGGCTGGGAAATGATAGTAAGAGATAAAAATTAAGCATAGAGCTAAAGCAACAAAATCCAGTGTACCCGGTCTCCAACAATGTAGCCAGTTCTAATTATTTTGAAAACCAAAACAAGGATCCCATGAATGTGATAAGAACCTTAAGCAACAAGGCATGAAAACTGATGAAGGGAAATGTTAATCTTTTGAGTGATCATGAAATGAAAATATGAATTATGAGATGGCTTTATGCATTCAATAAATTCTTTCTAAACAATTTCTGAGTTTTATCTCTCTGGCTGTCTCTTTCTGCTCTTCTTTTTTTACAAAGCTTTTATTAATCTTGCTTGTATCAATACCTGTGATTTTTAAGAAGGCGGTAGTAAAATGTATTCCCCAGAAATGTACATCAAGTAGTCTGCACTTGTTTGAATGTTTAAAAACTGGCAAAGCTACAAATAGTTCTGTTTTCCAGTCTTGAAAAGTCTAGTCTGGTTCATGCTTTAGAAACACAGAGAAAAATTACTTCTATTTTGCCAATATTCCTGAAACGCCATTCATCTTTTTTAGGCAACCTACCATTTTTAGGAGTTCAATAAAGCCCAATTGGCTTAAGATGAAAAGTTAAATTAAGGCCTAGAATAAATTGCATACTGTGTTCTTTAATCAAAAAAAGGCCTTCAAGTCAGATCGTAATAATCACCCACCTGCAGAGCAGGTTGAACCTGCCTCTAGTGTTTTTCACATTTAGCCTAATTCTCATGGCAAACGAATCCTCTCCCTGGTGCGTAACATAGTCCTCTCATCTCCAAAAAGGCTACACAGTAGTGTCAGTGAGGTTTAGGTCTAGGTGGTCTGTGGACACTTCTAAAGATTCCTTGAAAGATGAAGTGAGGCCACTCAATCATGGAAAATTTAAGTGCTTAAATTTCAGCGCTCGTGTTTTAAATGATACTGTATTTTAACAAATTAGGAGGCAATGTTAAATGTTTTGCGACAGATTGTATACACAGCTGTGAGCCAAAACCCATGTTTGATGCTCCATCTACTTCTGCCTATGCTGACAGAAGAGTAGCTCTGAAACAGGAGAATTCCAGTTGTAAGAGCACCACACTTTGCCCAAAGAGCTGCTCACCAAAAGAAAAGGTGGCAATATATGACCAGAATTAATTATTTAACATAGTCCAAAGGGAAAAGCTCCTGAGATTCACCAAAAAATAAACAAAAAACAAGCTGAGGAAAAGAAAAACACTTACCACACAGCATGTCGGACACTGAGTTTTGTAGGACAAAAACTTGCGTATACAAAGGGAACAATCTAGAAAAAGGAAATATATAATTTTTAAACAGGCATTCTTCCAAATTCAATCTGACAACCATCACTGCGTGCTTAATGACAATGATATAGTGAAAGTATACAAGTCACTGCCAGCAAATAACAATCTCTATTGAGTTTAATCTGAAAGTAGCAAGGTTATGAAAAGAAAGAGGAATAAAACAAGCCTGGCACGAGAAAAGTCAGTAATGCCGCAATTTACACACCACACATTGAAGACCAGAGGTGTTTTTTTTAAGTGAGCAATTCTGAAACCTGCTTAGTTGGAAGCATAGTAGTAATTTCAATACAGATTTAAAGAAAGGAAAATCCTGGATGACAAAAGAGAGCTCCCTCCAACAGCTATAGCCACTTCTGTATGAATAAGTCAAACAGACGCACGTTCCCCTGCCCACCTTCCAAGCTATGCTGGCCCCAGGCCAGGGCTGCATGTCTCCTCTCGCGCCGAGCTCTACTTGGGATAAAGGCTCCAACATCGGCACACACTGATTCATCGGGGCTGGCGGCTGCTCCCAGCACCAGCTGCATCCCTTGCTGGAGGGCAGCGGCCTGACGGCGGAGGCAGCAGGACGCAGAGCTGAGAAACCCTCAACCACCGCCTGCCACCATCCCCTGGCTGGTTGCGGCTGCCTGGGCTCCTCAGGAGAGCAGCACGTTTTAACAACCCCCTGCCAGCGATCATGCCCACCAGGCAGCAAGAAGCAGACCTGGCACCACCTCAGCTTGAATGGACCGAGTTTGTCCTCTTGGACTGAAAGCATAAGAAATACCACGGCCACAATTCACTCTGCCCCTGGTGAGATGTCCACCTTCAGACGCTTTTATTATGTGAAAGAAATAGGAATGGCACATCTATTCTGTCACTAAAGATACAATCTGAAGCACTGTGGAAGTTAAACAACTACTGTCAAGAGAGCTACTGAATGCTCTCAGTCACCCAAGAACAAGCAGAGGAGGAATTTTAAGTGGCTATAGTTGCAAACAGATTATAGAGATGTCTAGAAGCTCTGTAATAGATCATTAAGAAAAAGAGAAAAAGAAAAACATTTTGCAAGCAAAGGTATTTCATTTTCATCTATTCACAAATAATTACTCATTAATGGCAGAGGGCTTTTTGTTCCAATTGTACAGTCTCAGTGGACTGAAGAGATTACACAGAGACAACCGAGTAGAAAATACTTCACAGAATTTTGATTTATTGTAGAAAACTTAGGCTTGCTGCAATTTGCAGGGGGAAATTCAATGTGTAATCTATGAAAAAAGAAGGGAGACAGATTCTTCTTGAAGTTAAGGGCCTCTGAACCCAGCTGTGTCACAGGCAGGCTGTAACATCAGCTACTGTAGAGAATTTCTAGTGCTCCCCACCATAAATATGCTGTTTCCAATGGTGATAGTTTTGCAAGCTAAACTAAATTTCATTGCCAAACTACAATGTCCTCCTTCACGTAAAGAAGAGGAAGTGCTACGGTTTCTGAACAAAACAATTATAAGCATTTATTTTAAAGTGAGAAAAGGCAATGTACTTTCCCCTAATCTGACTTTCAGCAAACCACTTCGCTACCACATTCCAGCAGATATCAGCCTGAGACAGACAGAGCAGCATGGAAAATTTTAGCTCATAACACTTAATGCTCTCTGCCATACAGCTTTGCATTTTGTTCCGCCCTCAAGATGTTATGAAAGATATTTAAATGAAGAATTGTAGGAATAGGTGGTGTTTAAGTGCATTGATCTAGACAACGTGTTTGTGTTTTCAGAAGGTTGCAACCGTAACTGTACAAGGAAAGGTTGCTGGCTGCTTAACAGCTCTCACCCAAAAGAGCTCCTCAGAGGCAAACATCCTTGCTGGCTAAGCCACGAGTAGAAGAGCTGCATGTTTTCTAAAGGAAATAAAAGATCAGTAGTCTCCGCTCTACATACCAGTAAATAATAAATAGTCAAATAATGACTTGTCTCCAAAACTCTAAAGGAGAAAACTCTTTTGAGGACATTTTTCAATAGTTTTCTGTCGCTCGGCTAAGGTGCAAGAGGATTTTGCCAGCCCATAGGGCCCACAAGATCATTCTCCAGTCTTGTGTTTCCTGGGAAAGATGTATGAAAACCAAACCATTCACTCAAAATTTCTTTGAGTACATCTTCTTCAGCCCTACCTGTCTGTCTTAATCTGTCAACTAAATGACAAGTCACACTTAAATGGAGTCACAGGGCCAACACACACTCCCATCACAACCACCTCTGTACTCCTAGAATGTATGGCAAGGTGCACGTACATGAAATACGTTAACTCTAAATTCCACAAAGTCACAGGATAGAGGGAAGAACGACCTCACTGCCCCTTTATTGACTTGCCACAAATGCCCCATTTACCTTGGCTCCTACTCAAGCAATTTTATTAAAACTGCTGTTTCTGTGCAATTTTTATTAAAACTCAAGTAAATTTAAACTGCAACCACCAGGTCGGTAGTGATGTATTAACTGGCTCTCCATAAAATACATTAATCACAGGACAGGAGGCACAGATTTACAATGAAAAGGAAGCGTTGACCTCTGTGAACTCAGTACTCATGAAGTTAGTACACGAGACAGCAGGATGGGACGAGTCCCACAAGAGCAAGAAATCTACACACAGCACTTTCAGTGCGAGAAGCAATCGTGCTCCTTACGCCGTACTTACAGTTATGCGAACACTGCGGAATGATCATCGCAATGCTGAAGTAATCAAAGCATATCCCGCACCGCAGCAAGTCATCCACTGCCTGCAATGGAAAGTCGAGGTCACTGCAGAGCTCGCGGTGGGACATGGCAGGGGAGCGGCGCGCTGGCGGGCGCACGCTTCCAGCCAGGCTGTGCTCTCACACGGTGCAGGTGACGGTGCACCGCCTGCATCGGGCCAGGGCGTCACGGCCGGCGGCACTGGCAGG